AGATATTTAATAAATACACATAACTGTTTCTATTTGTGTAATGTATTTTACACACTCATATGTTTGCATGACTGAATTTGGCCTTTTGGTCATTTGCCACTTTTAAACAAGAGTCAATTTTTGTAGGTCTTTCTTTTGAGCTTATATTAATAAAAGGGACATGTTGACTTAATTCATAAAAATGCCATCTGTGCCTCTTGAGGGGAAGCGTTAAGGCACATTACCTCAGCCAGCCTTCTCTATCACTAGTAGGCCTCTTAACTACAAAGGGGACTTAACTGCTCCTTAAATACACATAACAGTTAAGGTCCCACAATACTGTCCACGACCTACTTAGCACTGTTGATTGTTTGTAGTTCTGTTGGCAGTTTTCTCATCCCCAAATTCATCAATTTTACTATGAATTCTTATTACTCTAACACAGCAAAATATAAAAATCAGTAATCTGTTCACGAGCAGACAGAAGTGCCAAGTTCAAATATTTGCTTTTTCAAAGAAAGAGAATGAGTTAAAATAAAACAGTGCATTAACAGAATTCAAGTTGCTGAAGAGAGTAGCGATTATAAAATAATGGAAACATGTATCTACTGGGAGACTTTACTGAAGCTCCTCCCTGTCTAGGGAAAATATTTAGTTACATGTTCCAAGGACAGACTGGTCCTTTCCAGACACTTACCCTCTGACAGCATGAATAAGTCTCAGTGATGGATAGGCAGTTCGCACTTTCAGTTTATTCTTAAGGATTAATGCATTAACCCACTCCACGTGCTTCTCTCCTCCTTTGACCATGAAAGCGGGGATCCAAAGGACACTGTCATTCAGCATGGAAAGTCTATGCACAAATTTTTCTCTGTCACTCTCATTCCGAAAGCCTCCAAATGCTCTTTGTACAACTGATGGATTCATGGTAATAAAATCTGACTTAGTTCCCACATCTGCAGCAAACTCCACCACAGGAGCTAGATTACACCTGAAGAGGAAAAAATTAATGGATAAATGAAAAATAAATATGAAACATTCACTCCTAAAATGGTGTGCACGAAAAGAAGAATGGGGAATGAACATGGTCTTTCTTGGTTTGTTTTTCTGTTGTCGGTTTTGTTTTGTTTTGCTTCCCAGGTGGGAAAAAAAGATAATTTGCTCGGTAAAATTACATTTTTAATAAGTTGTTACACGTTCAGGAATACTGTCTTCCATAAGGATGTGCACTCTTAGTATGAGGTTCAAATTGTCATTTATATTAATTCGATCTATTGTCTAAAAAGTCTTATTACTGTTATTTCATAAAAACACGATATGAATTCCTAACAGGTGAACTTATGATGGTCAGTTTGCAAGGGCTCTGACGCCAGGCAGCAGACAGTGTAAACCACATGCTAGTCTGTACGTGAGGAAAACATAGTAGACCTCATACTTCAATCTGCACCACTTGTCAAGCTTAAGTCATTTCAACAACTTTATAAACATAAGCCACTGAAGATGTCTTTTCTGTACCCTGAGGTTGAGGGAAAAGTACAATTCCTTACAGCATTTTCCACAAACATATTTGTAATTGCCTTCTATAGGCCTAAATGGGAAAGAAAAGTAAGAAAAATAGAGTTATCACATTTCAAATGTCTTTTTGAGATGTTAAATAATGCAGAAAAGTCCTTACTATAGGATCAAATATCTTTCTGTTCCTTTTGAGGACATCGTCAAAATACCTGTTTCCCCTACTAATAGGCCATGTGCCCTCTGTGAAGGAGGGACAGAATCTGCTGTCCTGTTCTTGCAGCTGAAGCTCCAGGGTCTCACTAAGTATCTGATTTCATCCACATATTACAAGAAAGCTTTGGAAAGCACCTTGAATTTTGTGTTTAACCAGTTTGTGATGCTTCATAATTTTGTCACACAGATCTTTGGATACTTGACTTAAAAAAACACCTTTTTACTTTATAATAGTTCAACTTGCTGAAAAAGGCATATTTTAATTAGTTGACAAGTGAAAAATTATATTTTTAACAAGCAAGAGTTTGCTAATTTGGAAAAAAAATCATTTGAACCTATTCAATCTACACAACGACAAACACATACACATAATTTTTTTTTCTTTTTTGTTCCTTATATCAGCCTTTCAAGCAAAGGGAAAATAACCTAATTGTATCTTTCTGCATTTTTGCAGGCTTGACTGCATTAGGAAAGTTTTTCACATTTCTCTTCCTAGTGCATTTTGCCACATTAACTAATTTCTCAAACAACTTCTATTTAATTAAAAAGTAAAGTGTGTGCTCTGCTATCAAAATAACTGGCTTACATATCTTTCCTTATCTCTTTTAATTAATACATCTTATTAGTTCCTAGATCTCTGACATCATTTATCTAACACAACAAATATCTTTTACCTTACACAATTAAACAAAGTCTGCGATATGCAGGGTGAGCTCAGAGAGAAAACAAATAAAAATTAACATGTCATATTATTTAGAAATAAATAATCTTTTCAAGTTATATGACTTTAATTACACCCACTATATTATATGACAGAGTATGTATTTTGTCTCCATCCGTGATCCAGCACTACTGGAGACGAGTGATCATTCATGCCCCTTACAGTAAGAATATCAGGAATGGGACTGCCCTGAAAAGGGACAGTGACATGTGAAAAGAAGCTAAGTGAGCATCTTACAGTGGAACTCATGGAAGAAGGAGAATATGACCAGTTTTAAAGTCCTAAAACATGCTCCACACCAGTTTTAAAAATAGTCTAAAATCCCAACCAACCCGATTATAAGATGAATTTGGACACTATGAGTAAATGCATTCTGAACATTAGTACACACACCTCTCCTTCCTTAGGTAAAAAATAGACAACACTTGTTAACACGACAGTTAACGGTTCCTCACAGGGAAGATGGCTTCAGACAGATCTTTCTGCTGTAACAGTTCCTCAAGCAACTCTTTTCAGGGAATTTCCACCATAGAAAAATAATATCTATACTTGATTTTCTCTATGATTGTAAAAATAATCAGAGCCAGTCCCCTTACAGAGAGCCAAAATAACATTCTACTGAATTATCTTTTCAGGAAAAAAAAATCACTTAATTTCTTTCTGCTTTTCATAACTTTTTCTCATCACATATTTAAAAGCCCTCCCACACTCATGTTTGCAAAACACACTCTTTTAGGACTGACTCAGTGTGTTTCTGAAACAGGACTGTCTGGCCATGTGCTATTTAAGGACTAATAAGACAGTCGTCAATTAAGTTGAGTGCTGAAAGACAGGGACTTTCCACCTCAGAAGTGAAGGGAAACTAACAGAGTAACACTATTTCTGGAGAATAGGGTTGATCCAGGAGAGGAGCCAATGTACTCCATGCAATCAAAGAATGCTAAATGGATGTGGTGTGAACTGAACGAGCACCAGGAGATCAAAGCATAATCAAACCACCTGAGCTTTACTGTAAATGTTTTAAGATCCAAGCATAGCCCGACCAGGCTTTGTAAGGGATGGAAACAGAGGTACTGAAAATAAATAGCATGACAGAAGGACACATCGTAAAATGTAAAGCATGCTGGCTCTATAAGCCTGCTTGCTCATTTTCTTTGGAGTGACTATGTTTAATTTTTCACTGGAAGGAAAGATTAACATCATGTCCACATGTGGCCAGTAAATTAACTTCTCTGTGGCTGAGTTAGATATTTAGTCATATAATTAGCCAAATGTCACATAATCAGGGCGAACACTAAGGAAGCCAAAATAACCAACCAGCTGTGTTGCAATCCAGCGACTCAGGAGACTTGTTGTGAACTTTATAGCGTTACTAGTAGCAATACTGCTGATTGAGCAGGATCATGAATAGATTTGCAATCACGCATTCTTCATCTTCCTTTTAAAAAAATCTTGGGGATGATAATATTCAAAAGTAGCCGGAATGCATTAGCAAGCATTTATTTATTTACTTTACATGTTACTCTTAATCTCATAAAACTGAAGAGTGCCCAATTTTGAAATGATGGATTTTTGTGAGTCAAAACTACTGAGTGCCTAAGAATAGTTAATACACTCAGGTTCTGCTTCTTTAGCCAAATTAAATGTTTTGTACTGTCCAAATATTTCGACATCTCAAAAACATGAAAACATACATATAGAGCTAGTTATGTTGGCCAAACTCCCTGTTTACTCTCAGCTGCCCACTTTTCAATTTGTTTTTCTTCCCTCCGTCATTGATTGAAAACCTTTGGGAATACAGCTAGCTCCACCTGTAGTCTAGACCTCTGAAACTTCTGTGATCGCACACTAGATGTACTGCCTCTCAACATTTCTTTTATGCAGAATGAAAGGTACTTTCACTCATTTCACACCTATAAAAATGCTTTAATTCATTCAATTTTTTAAGGAAAGAAGTGTTTACTTCATGTGTAATACCTCAAGATCACTGAGTTCCTTAGTTAGACAGATCTCTGAGACTTGTCCATATTCTCTTCATCTCCCTTAAGTTATGGCTTAACGGTCTAAGCAACCAGGAGGTCCATCTTTCAAGAGCTCAACAGATACACCTTGAGAGTTCATTGTGCAGATGCTTCACTAAGTGCTCAGAATTCTTTTTCCAC